GTGAACAGGCCAGCTCAGGGAGCCCGAGTCTGCTGGGGCAGGAGGACAGGCCCAGGGCCACCAGGATCTGCTGTGGTGCCCGAGGTGGCCGTGCCCAGGCACTGATGGGACCTCCGGGGGAGGGGCTCCCCTAGTCCAGCTGGAGGTATCAGGGAAGGCAGGGAGGGAGTAGCATCGAAGAGAGACCCTGGGGTCCCCCAGCAGGCTCCCCACCTCGCCCGCCACACGTTAACCCTGTGAGCCCTGCCGCCCATCCTCACCACTGGGGACGGCTGGCTCAGCTGGCTCCTTCTGTGAGGCCCTCTCTGTGTCATTACCCTGACCACACGGGGCTGTGCAGCTGGGCTGAACTTGTGGCTGCCCCCCTCCTCCAGGGGAGAGTCTAGAGCCTTCACCAAGCTCCGGGTAAGGGGCCCAGCCTGGCCCGAGTGGCCAGAGACACCCCCACCCCCACCCCAAGCCACGGCTGCCATCCCTTGGGGGGAAAGGCTGGGTCTGAGGTACCGAGGCTGGCTCAGGAGAAAGCCCCTCAGGAACAAGGGGTAGAGTAGGAGCTGTAGACTCCCGGGGCCACAGAGACACTGCAGCCAGGCCAGGTTTGGGACAAGGGACTCTGGTCACATGCAGGGGCAGGTCCACGCCCCCCGCCCGAGGCACTCACAGTCACAACACTAAAGAACCCTGAGCACAGGCCCAGGTGAGGTCTGTTGGGGGCTGCCAGCCGGCAGGCTCCAGGAGCCGGCCGAGGGCAGGAGTGACAGCTGCCTGGCCTGTGACCTCTGGGGACTCACCTCCCACCTCTCTGGGCCTCCAGGCTGACTTAAAGGCCCCTCCTTGGGATGCAGGTGCGGTGGAGGGGACTTGGAAGGAAGGCAGACCGGGTCCGCAGCTCAGCTCTGCTCCTCGCCCAGTTGTGTGGCCTCTGAGGCTGGGAGCTCCCTTCCTCGTCTGCCAGCTGGGAGCCTGTGCTGGTTATCTACTGCTGTGTTAACTGGTTGCTTCAGAACTTAGTGGCTTAAGACATCGATAGACATGTATTCTCTCTTATGGTTTCTGTGAGTCAGGAATTCACGGGCAGCTTCGCTGGGTAGCTCTGCTCTGTGTCTCCCCTGAGGCTGCAGTCAGGGTGTCGGCTGGGGCTGCACTCATCCGAAGGCCTGACTGGGGCTGGAGGACCTGCTTCCAGAAGGCCACCTCACGCAGCTGTGGGCAGGAGACCCCAGTTCATCTCGCCGCGGGCTGCTCAGTGGGCTGCTCCCAGAGCAAGTGATTCGAGTGGGTGAGGAGGAAGCCCAGTGCGTCCGTGACAGTCACACTGTGTCTCCTCCCCTGGACCTCAGAGGTCCCGCAGGTCGCCTGGCCTGGGAGGAGCCTGTACCCAGGGGTGAGAATCAGGAGGTGAGGAGGACTGCACAGGGAGCATGGCAGATCCTGGAGGCTGCCTGCCAAATGCCACAACCCGTCTCCTTCCTCCTCTGTAAAACGGGGACCCCTCCCAGCTCTCAGAGGGGTCAGGTGCTCCAAACAAGAGACGTCAAGAAAAGCTGTGGGCGCAGAGCCTAGCCCATAGCGCAGCCAAAGGGCGGCCCCCATCCGCTCCCACAAATGGAGACCCCAACCCAGCCTCGTGGAGCCCCGCTGACCAGCCGGGGCCCAGACAGGCTCCTCCTCGCAGTGAATGGGAACCAGTGACAGGCAGGACTCTTTTTATCCGCCCCCTCCTTCTTCTTCTTCTTAAAGGTTTTAAACACCTAATTTATTCCATCCATTAGATAGATTTTGTAGATTTAATCATTTTCACAGTTGGTGGCTCATTGGATACTCAAGATAAACTCCAAATGAAAGTATAATGGTGAGGACAAATGAGTTTTCACACCACAATGGCAGAAACCTGCTTGGGAAGAGGGTTTAAGAGGAACAAAAATACACACAGATATAATTTTTTTCCCCGGCAGCCTCTTTTGCTGACTATAGTAGGTTACCACAGTTAATTTCACCAGTTTTGTTCATCTGTAAAATTGCATAAAAGTGACATTTTTGTGCTCATTATAGCAACTGCTGATTTATGGCTGGTAAATGAAGAGCTGGTCCCTTTTTTGCGGGACTCTCCGAGCGGCGCTAAGTGCCCATGAAATTGCTTGTATAATGTAGTTTAAATCCAATCTCGGAGAAAGATTCCCCCGTTGGCCAAAGTGACATTTCCATTCTCCACACTGAGTTTATTTTAGGCCACTTAGGAGGGGGCTGCCCCAGGCAGGGTCAGGATGGAGGCCTGTGGCCTGACAGGGGTCAGCTCCACCTGCCCAGTCTCCTTGGGGTGCTGAGGGCTGCCTACCTCTTCCTTCCCTGCTGCCCTGCCCAGGTCAGACCACATTCCTGCACCTCAGGGCAGAGGGGGATGACCTTTCTAACACGCATACCTGCCCCTACCCCTCCCCTGCGTAAAACCTGGGCCAGGGCTTCTCCAACACTCTTGTGGAGGCGGCAGTCCTGTGCGCTGTAGGATGTCCTGTGGCATCCCTGGCCACTACCCACTGGACACCAGTAGCTGGGGTGGAGGCTCCCCCAACCCAAGTGTGAGGACCAAATACATCACCAGGCTGGTCAATGTGCCCTGGGCGGGGGGGGGGTGGGGGGGTTGGGGGGGGGGGGGGCGGCGGCGGGATGGAGAACCACTGCCCTACAGTGTGAGGAGGCCCCTCTGCACCAGCCCGATGCCCTCCCAGGCCGCCTCTCTCGCACGATTGTCTGCCCTGGGCTTCTGCTCTCATTCTGAATTACTTACATTTCCCACTCGGGACAGGCTTCCTCACCTCTGGAACTCTGCCTGTGCTGTTTCTTCTGCCTGAAATCTGTTTCTCTGCTCCCTCCTCACCCCTTTCAAGAACATCGCCTTAACTGGGATGCTCTTTCTTCTAAAAAGCGGTCTCGCTTTCCAAAGCCTGCCTGAGTGAGGCCCCCCTGCATCCCAGAATGCCTGTGCCTCCCTATCACAGCACGTATCTTGCTCAGATTGGCTGTGAGCCCAACAAGGGGATTGGGGGTGAGCCTCGGGAAGGATGGGATGTGGGGTAAGGCCTTCCAACGGATGGGGAGGAGGCCGGAGAAAGGTGGTGGCGTCAGCACTCCACCCCAGCCACCATGCCGGGCCCACCTGTGCTGGTCAGGAGGAAGGGCAGCCCAAGCCCCTGCCCCCTCCTCCCCAGGAAGGCCCTTATTCCAGGCAGATGGGGAGGGTATTACCACTCCCGTGTAGTGAGCACCTGCTTCTGCTAATGCCACCCCACCACACACAACTCACAGCTGCCCTGGGAGGCAGTGTCCCCGGCAACATCACCCCCATTTTACAGATGAGGAAACCGAGGCCAGAGTGAAGAAGCCTCATTCTCAAGTACCCCCCTAGAGTCACTGGTGGGCCCAAGGGGTGCCCATGGGGCAGGAGGAAGGCAGTGTGCCGTGGAGACCTTGAGGGGTCCCCTCGCCCCCTTCCGGGCCCAGAGAGGTCACCCCCTCCCAGCACCAACTGCATGCCTCACACCCTCTGCTCAGCCCCTTGGCACAGTCATTCCTCCAAGCCACCCTGCAGGACTGGTACAATCATGATCCCCATTCCACAGGTGGGGAAACTGAGGCTCAGCCAGGCAAGCCATTTGCCCACAGCCAGAAAGCCCCACAAGCAGACAGGATTCTACCCAGCCAGCCAGTTCTAAAGCCCAGGGTCTTCCCAGCTATTGCATGGAGGCCCCTGCTCCCTTCCCCACCCAGGGACGGTCCTGGGCAGCACCGAGGAATCTCTCAGGCCCAGGGAGGGGCTTGGGATGGGAGACGGGGGGTCCTCCCACAGCAACCCACCTCCCCCACGGGAGGGGCCGGTTGTGCCACCAAGAGTAGAACAGTCAACCTGTCGCACAGAGTGCACCCTTCAGCCCCATGCTGACCGTGTGCAGAAAAGGCAGGGGTGACAGGCAGACTCGGGGAGGAGCTGGGCAGCCGGGGTGTATGAAGTCCCTCCTCACCAGCTACGGACTGAGCACGGGCGTGTGAGCAGCCGGTGGAAGCCAACAGAGCAGCTCCCGCCTGCATCACGTCCCCCGCTCTAGGCCTTGGGCTCCGTCCGTGGAGCAGCACGCTTAACCGTCCCACAGAGTTCGGCAGGTCCTCATCGCCCCATTTTACAGGTGAGGAAAGGGAGGCAGAGAGGATGATGAAGAAATAGGAGGAACGGCCTCCCAGCGGTGGTGTTAAGGCAGGTGACACCAAGCATCACTGAGCGTGTGGAGGCCCCAGAACTCCTGTGCTCTGCCGGGATGGGGGCGGGGGCGAGCCTGGCACATTCTCTTTGGCAAAAACTGCAGGTATTTTCTCCTAGGGTTGCATCTTCACCTGCCCCGAATCCCCCTGCTAGGCATAGTCCCAACAGAAATCACTGGATAACGTGGGCATGAGGGCGCGTGGTGCTAAGTGTATCGGCCCCAACGCCACCAACAGTAGCAAGGATGAGTACATTGTGATGTCGCGTCCCACAGGAGGACCACGGAGCAGTGAGAAAGCACGAACCACGCCCCCCCACCCCCAGGCGAATCCCATAAGCCACCCTAAGTGGCAGAGGCCGATGCGGGCGGGGTCGCGTGGCAGGATTCCATTCTCCCTGTACAGACACTGCCATCAGACGTCAGGACAGCTGTGCACTCGGGCGGGGACACAGGGGGCTCTGGGGGACTGGCAGCGTCCCATCGCTCGGGCACACGGGTCTTACAGGAGCACGCTCCATCCGTGAAAGTTCAGCTTACGAAATGTGTGGTTTCCTTCCCCTACTTGACACCAGATCCGGAGCTTCGGAGCGTAGAAGGAACAAAGTGGAGGAGCGGGGAGGGGGGATGGATGGGGAACCGGGGCAGAGTGAGCCCCCCCCACCCCGGCTGGCGGCGGCGGAGCTGTGGCCTTCCCGGCTCACAGGGCCGGCTCTCACCTGTGCTTTCCTCTCCGACTCGTCCCCGTAGGCGAGACGGCGGCCAGCTCCATGCATTCGTCCCGTTACCCGAGCCCGGCCGAGCTGGACGCCTACGCCGAGAAGGTGGCCAACAGCCCGCTGTCCATCAAGATCTTCCCCACCAACATCCGGGTGCCGCAGCACAAGCACCTCGGCCGCACCGTCAACGGCTATGACACGAGTGGCCAGCGCTACAGCCCGTACCCGCAGCACGCCGCCGGCTACCAGGGCCTGCTGGCCATCGTCAAGGCCGCCGTCTCCTCCTCGGGCGCCGCCGCACCCGCCGGGCCCGCCAAAAGCGTGCTCAAGAGCGCTGAGGGCAAGCGGACCAAGCTGTCGCCGGCCGCCGTGCAGGTGGGCATCGCGCCCTACCCGGCGCCCAGCACTCTGGGGCCCCTGGCCTACCCCAAGCCCCCCGAGGCGCCCGCCCCGCCACCCGGCCTGCCCGCAGCCGCCGCCACCGCCGCCTCCGTCATTCCCCTGCCCGGCCGTGGCCTGCCCCTGCCGCCTTCCAACCTGCCCTCCATCCACAGCATCCTCTACCAGCTCAACCAGCAGTGCCAGGCCCCGGGCGCTGCGCCCGCCGCCTGCCAGGCCGTAGCCGGTCCCCGCCCCAGCCCGGCCAAGCACGGTCCCGTGCCCGGCTTCCCCGGCATGGCCTACGCGGCCGCTGCCGGCCTGCCCGACTGCCGGAAGGGCGCCGAGCTGGGCCAGGGGAGCACGGCAGCCTTGACGTTGGCTGGGGCCACCAAGCCTGCAGGGTACGCGGACGGGGGCCTGGATTACCTGCTGTGGCCGCAGAAGCCGCCCCCACCGCCACCCCAGCCACTGCGGGCCTACAGTGGCGGCACGGTGGCCAGCAAGTCCCCCGAGGCCTGTGGGGGGCGGGTGTATGAGCGGGCCGGCGGGTCGCCCCTCAACTGCGGCATGGGGCTGCCCACCGGCTTCACTGTGGGCCAGTATTTCGCCGCCCCCTGGAACAGCGTGCTGGTGACCCCCACCAGCGACTGCTACAACCCAGCGGCGGCAGCGGTGGCAGTCACCGAGCTGGGGCCGGGGGCGGCCCGGGAGCTGGCGGGGCCCCCCGTGGAGGCCCTCTCGGGCCTGCCCAGCAAGAGCATGTGCAACACGGCGGTGCTGAGCAGCAGCCTGCAGTCGCTGGAGTATCTCATCAATGACATCCGGCCCCCCTGCATCAAGGAGCAGATGCTGGGCAAGGGCTATGAGACAGTGGCCGTGCCCCGGCTGCTCGACCACCAGCACGCCCACATCCGCCTGCCCGTCTACAGATAAGGCCTGCCCGGCGGCCGCACGGACAGACGGACAGGGCGCCGAGCGGGGAGGCAGGCCGCGGAGCAGGGTGGGCGGTGCCCTGGGGCACCCGGCCTCGCCCCATGCCCGGGTGCCCGTGGAGGCCCACAGGGAAGCCAGGCTGGCTGCTGCTGTGCGGCCACCTGATGGGGAGTAGCAGGGCGACCTGGCTCCCCCAGGCCCCTCCCTGCCATCGGCTGCCCTAGGATACGGCGGGGGGGGGGTTGCCCAGGGCAGCCGCGGACGGCCAGCCTGTCCTCCTTCCAAGCTGGCAGAGGCAGGGAGAGAGAAACCACCTTAAAACAGGAATGGTTCTTTCTGGCTTTCCCAGGAGAGGAGCTCAGGCCAGGGTGGGATACAGGAGAAAATGTGACAGTCTAGAGTCAGGGTGGGGTCAGAGCAGCCCCCCGGGGTTCAGACATCTCCTCCCCGCTCCCCCATAGCTCCCCGGTCTTGGAAAAGGAGCCAAGAAGGGGCATAGGAAGTCACAGGGCCTACAGTGTCCCCTGCTGGCCAATCCAGGTGAAGACCACTCTAATAGAGGCTCCAAGGACTACCAGTGCCCCCCGCTCCTCCCTCCTCCTCTAGGTTCTCCTTCCCCTCCTCCCATTCCTTCCCAACACAGAATTGTACCCCCATCCCCACTCTCTCCAAACCCTGTACTACCACCTTCCCCCTTCTCGCCACATCTTACAGGGCTGCTGGACACAGTTGTATAGGCTGTGCACTGCACAAGGGCACCTCGTCCAAGGAGACACCATTTGCATCCTAGACTTGTATATTTATTATGGCAATTTTCCGAATCTTGAGGAAGGGGTGCCATTTTCCCTATTCGCACAAAGGCACCACAGGGGCTAACAGTGGGCCTGCCATCTTCGACACCAGTCAGAAGGACCCTACCCTCCCTTCTTCGGGGGTTTCCCTAGGAGCCAGCGAGGAGGCGACCTACTGGTTTTAGTTGGGAGAGCCAATCCAACTCCCTTCTTGCAAGCTGCCCTCCAAGGCCTGCCGCGCACCATCAAGGGTCCAGGGGGGGAGGCAGGCAGGGATTCCCCCCCCTTCCCCGTTACGTCCCCAAGGCCCGGATTCCCCGAGCCCTGGCCCCTCTGGCACTCCGGAAGCGGTACTGTATCTCTCCAAGGCCTGTTCAAGCACTAAGTGCATTTACAAATCTCTGAGAATGTTTTTTTTTTATACTAAAATTGACCATTATATTCTACTGTGAGAAGTGCAGTCTGCACTATATTGTTTTAAAAACGAAGAGAAAGAAAAAAGGAAAACACAGATGGTGTCTCAGCTGTGGAATTGTTCTGTAGCTCGTTTTGTTCTTCCTTCCTTCCCTCCCTTAGGAGTAAAACGGGCCGTCTCCTCCCCTGCTGACCGGGCACGGAGCCCTGAGGAAGCAGGCCAGGAGCCTCCTGGCACCCACCGCACTGGGCATTCTGTGGGTCATTTACTTCTCCAGCTCTTTAGGGGTGGACGCTGTCATGTACCCTGTTTATGTCAGCACACAGGCTGAAGGCCACTGGGTCACGGCCAGCAATCGGTCTGCAGAGTGGCTGAGGCAGAACCAAGCCTGGGCCCTGTGGCTCGTTCCCTGAATGGTGCGGAGGTGGTCTGGGGATGGTGTCCCCCCCCTGCATCACTACATTCCTTCCCAGCTTCTCCTCTGTGCCTGACACACTCCAAGCTTCCGTGGGGGAACAGTGCGGCTGCGGGCAGGCCAAAGTGGCTGGGCAGCCCCAGCACACACCCCACCCCGGGCCTGGGTGCCGGCGGGGGGCGGATCTGCAGGAGACCACCCAGGATGCTCAGCATTTAGCAGGCACTTCATTTGTGCTGGGCCTTTTCATCTAGACTATATCTCCCTGGAGCCTCACCACATCCTTGCAAGGTAGTAGGTGTTCCAGGAAGAAACTGAGGCTCAGAGATGTGAAGTGACCTGCCTAAGGTCACACAGCAAGTCTGGAAAATTGGGGTTTGAACCCCATGGCGTGGACTCTTTCGCATCCTGTCTTTGCCTTATCCCCTCGCAGGGGAGCCTGCCATCTGGCCTGGGGGGGCCTGGAGAGCCCCTAGTTTAATGCAGGCCTCCCCTCCCATGCACAGAGCCTTACCTGGGTGCCAGGTGCCAGGCCCTTCTGACCTGGGTCAATGAACAAAGCATAGCACCCCTCACGCCCTGGGGAGCAGCCCAGGGGTTGTGCCGGGTGATGAGCTGACCAAGTCCGCGCTGCGCAGAAGGCCGCCGGGGGTGACCATAAGTGGTATGTAAGCGGCAGCTGACAAAGCGCTTTTCTGACCTCCCAAAACAGCTTCACAACTGCACCATCAGATGTGTGACAAAATCATCCCCATTTTAAAGATGAGAACACAGAACCTGAGAACGGCCACAAGGACGCTAAGAGGGAGCCAGGTTCTGGCATCAGGACCCACACCCCGGCTCAGGCCACCTCCAGAGCCCCCAGATCTCTCCCGCAGCCTCCACCCTCACATGGCGCTGAAGCCCGCCTGTGGCCCCACAGCACCCCAGGAGGCCCCTGGAGGCAGGCAGCCCAGGAGGCCCAGCCTCCAGTGTGAACTAGAAGCACGTGGGAATCCTGGCTTTGCTACCTGGAGTGACCCTGAGCCAGACAGGGAATTTGAGGACACAACAGCACGGGGCAGGAACTTGGGGGAAGGGCAGAGCAGCGGGGTCTAGAGCCAGGTTTAGGGCTGGGTGGTGGCCTGTGGCTCAGCTATTCCCACCAACGTGGTCTCTGGATAGCCCATGTCCCCCTGTCCCAGGGCCCACTGCCAGGCCCACCCCCACTGGGGCATCAAGGGAGCGCAAGGAGACAAGACTGGAGCCACCCTTTAGGCCAGGTCCCCCTCATTTGGAGATGCGGGCTGAGGACAGACCTGCCTCTGCTCTGGGAAAACCTCACCCTCTGTGGGCTGGGTCGGCGGGTCCACACGCAGGGCGGTGGGAGCACGTGGTACAGACAGTCTCCTGGGGCGCTAGCCCTGTCCTAGCACCAGCTCCCCGGTGCCTTGGCCGGGCTCCTCCCCGGGAGCAGGGCTGGCTGATCTCAACGGGCCCTCAAGCGGGCAGCGCTCCTGCCCTCCATTTATATAATCACCTTGGACTACCTGCCACACTGGAGGGACAGCGCGGGTGACAACGACATCGCCATCAATGCTACAACGGTCCACGGTCACCGCAGGCAGACCAGTCCCCAGGCTCAGTGCTAAACAGTACCTAGTCCCCTCCTGACCACTCAACAGGCACAGGTGCACATCCCCACGGTGCAGGTGAGGCCAGTGAGGCCCCCAGAAAGGCAATCATTTTGCCCAAAGTCAGCTGACTGTGGAGAACGGAGAAGCAGCTGGGACAGAAGCCGGGCCTGACTCAGAGCCCGCCTTCGGCGCCGCTGCACTTTGCAGAAAACACAGACCGCCCCGCCGCCAGCCCCAAGCCCCAAATATGGCCAATTTGGCTCCAGCGCGGAGCTCCAGCCGTGGGTCCTGCGCTCCGGGGGCAGGACTTCCTGCTGGGTGAAGGGGCCGAAGGGGAGAATCTGCCATCTGTCTGCCCCCCACCTCAGGCAGAGCCGCAAGCCTTTCTCTAGGTCTCCCGTGGGGACACGGCTCCTTCTCTCCCTTTAGCCGTCTTGGGCTCACACCGCTTAGAGCTGAGCTGTCCAACGTGGTCGCCACGTGTGGCTGCCACATAACCTCCCCTAGGTGACACCTCCTGTCATTAACAACTGCTAGAAGATCATCACCCCATCTTAGACATCAGAGCAGCCCCAGAGGGGCGGGAAAGCTTGGGCAAATATCTGAGCGGAGGGGCCAGTGAGGGGGACACTCACCTTTCCGGGGTAGCTCTGTGCTTTCCTGACTCTGCTCTCCTACCCGCCGGCCTCTAGAGCACCTCCCCACTCCTGGAGAGGGCAGGCAGACAAGGTCAACCCCTGAACTTGCCTGGCAACAGCCAACGACTTCAACTTCTTGACTTGGAACCTACACTCCGGCTGCCAGCTGGGCAAGACTCCGCCCCGATGTGGGTCCCACGTGCACGCTGGCCCACGTCACACCGCGCCTGCGCAACCCGGGCTGGTTCAAGGGCCCTAGTGGGCCCCACCTGCCGCCTGCGCGGGCCTGGCAAGTGGGGCCCAGCCAGGGGCAGCGGTGGCCAAAAGGATTTCTGGGTTTTGTTAGGTTTTGTTTTTTTTTTTTTTTTTTAAGATTTTATTTGTCTATTGGAGAGAGAGCGGGCACGGGAGGGGCAGAGGAAGAGGGAGAAGCAGACTCCCCGCTGAGCAGGGAGACCAACACAGGGCTGATCCCAGGACACCGGGATCATGACCTGAGCAGAAGGCAGACGCTTAACCAAATGAGCCACCCAGGTGCCCCATGGATTTCTATTTAAATCACCAGAGGGGCCAGCTCCCTAAGACAGCAGTAGTGGGAGGGGAGGAGGCAGGAAAACTGGCCCTGGTTGACTCCATATATGACCCTGGGGGGACTTGTGGGGCCTCTCCGAGCCTCAATTTCAAATCTGTCAAAGGAGGTGGTGGCCTCTGAAGGCCCGGGATGTCCCCAGGTGATGTGTGATCAGGATGACAGGGCAAACAAGTCCCGTGGCAGTCCCAGGGCAGTGGCGCCTAGCGGTTGAGGCTCAGACAGACCTGGTTCCAGTCCTGACACTGCCCCTCATGAGCATGTGGCCTTTAGCAAGTGACCACCCCTCTTTGAGCCGCCTATTTCTCCACCGCAAGAGAGACTGATATCACAAGCACCTTACAACCACTTGGGGTTGAACATAAGAAACAGGTGGTCAAGTCCCCTAGGGAACAGAGCCTGCTTGGGAGAAGATGCCCCAAAAGTCAGGCATGTTATTTCCTGTCATCACCTGGTCCAGCTGCTTTCACCTTGGAAAATGGGTTTCCAGGTTAAAAGAGTTAGAGAAACAGATGCATCCCCCTCCCCCCACCTTAGAGTTGCATAAATAATATTATCATATTAAAGGCTCTGAAAATCCTGCAGGCAAGGTACCCTTTTAGCTTTAACCCAGCATTTCCCTAATATTTTTGATCACCTAAGTTTTTGTTTCTATCCATGAACATCCCAAGGAACAAATACTTCAGGAAATACCGAGTCTTACCTTTTGTGTTGCAATTAGGGAAACTGAGTAAGTTCCTCCCTCTCTCTGGTGACGTGTGGCCCTCAGTTTCCCTAGTTGGTGGAGCAAGGACTGGAATCCAACCCTGACTTGGAGTCATTGGGCCTCAATTCTGGGGCCACCACATCCTAATTGGTCTTTGTTCACCGTGTTGTGCTAGGCCCGAAGGAGGGAAAAGACCCTAAAGGAGAGAGAAGGAAGCCCTCATTTGACTAGTGGGGGAGTGCCCTGATTTTGAAAATGACAAAATGAGGTTCAGAGAAGGAAGGCAACTTGCCTGAGGGCACACAGCAACTAGGTTCTAGACTCTCCAGAGGCAGACCTGGGCCACCTTCTGTCCTTGTCGGGAGGTGAGGGAATTCCTGAGTCTTAGAGCCTCAGGGCGCACCTAATGGGGAGCTCAGCTAGGGGCTCTTCCTGGCCAAGTTGGTTGGTTCCAGGTTCCCTCTCGCCTCTTCTGAGGAGGCCTCTGGGTGTGACTACAGCGGCCCCTGGTGGCCAATCTCCAGGATCGGCAGTCCCACCCTGCATAGGCCAAAGGCTGATTGGTGAGATCAAGTGGATGCATCCCCAAACGAGATGGGGGTCTGGGGGTAATAGCAAGCGGGACCCTCTGATGTCACTGAGCACCTGGAGATTCTGAGAAGACTCTGCCGGAATCTGGGTACCTGGGTTCCAGTCCCAGCTCCACCCAACCTCCCCTGTCTTCACCTGTTAGAACCCATTACAGCCTCTTACGGTGGAGAAAGGGATGTGCGCACGCTTTGGAAAGGCCAAAACACTAGGTAAAAAAAATCCTGCCAAATCCCTAGAAGGGTTCTCCTCCTAAGACAGAGGGGGAAAATCCTGACTCCACTGCATCTAGGCTGTGTGTTCTTAGGCAAGTGTGTTTACTTCACTGGGGCTCAGTTTCTTCATCTGTAAATAGGGATCAAAATGTATTCTTGTATCTCCATGATTTGGGCAAGGTATCAGGAAACCCTGACTCATTGGTTTAAATGAGAAAGAAAAATTTTTATCTCCAGCAATCATAAGGAGCCCTAAGGTAGGGCGGCCCCAGGGTCAGTTAATTCAACAGCTCAATGGTATCATCAAAGACCCCTTTCCATCTTTCCATTCTACCAAGCCCCTTCATGGTCACAAAATGGCTGCTGCAGTTCCAGGCATCACATCACAAACCTGGCAGTGCCCAGCAAAGACAGTGTCTTCCTAGATTTCTCTTATTTTCCCAGAATCCCCCCTCCTTCAACAGACTTCCCCTTTTGTCTCATAGGTCAGAATTCATAGGTTCACGTGGCAGTTCCTTGACCAATCCCTAGTAAGGGAAATAGAGTCACAGTGGTTGGCTCAGGGAAGCCCCTGACTGTGGAGCAGAGTGGAGAACTCTGAACAAAACAGGTGCTGTGAAGAGGGAAGAGGGGACATGGTTTCTGGAGAGGCCTCAAACACCCGTCCTTCAGTTCCCACACGTGGTTCCTGAGACGCGAGCACCAAACACTGAGCACAGTGCCTACCACTCCATGTTCACCTGCTTCCTCCTCTCCGTGATTCCCTCCAAGAAGAGAAGATGCCCAGCCCATCCTCCCTCCCTGGGCTTGGGTCTCTGCGGCCAGTGCTCTTTCCATCCTGTCCTCTGCCCTCACCACCACCCCTCCTTTTGCTTCATCTCCTAAGCCTGGGGTGAACGAAGATCTCCCCATTGCCCACGATGGCTGTGGGCTCCTGAAAATGAAAAGGTAGGGGGTGCTTGATTCTCATGCCAATGCTTTCGCCAGGGAGTCAACAATTAATAACAGTATGAATAGAGGCCCAGAGTCTTTAACGGCTCCGTCCAAACAACCGAAATGATCAGAACACACATCTTCCAGGCGAGGTGTGGAGGCTGCTGGCCACGGCGTTATTACGTTCGGAAATGTCAGGAGTGTGCGTTCCGGGGAGATGAACAGTGTGGTTGAAAATGGCTTTTGATTTTTAAAAAATCCCCAGCATTCATCTAAAACAATAATAACAGCTAATAATAACAGGGCATGTAATAATGAAGTATTCATAGGCATAAGAGGTAATTGTTCAATTAAGATCTGAGAGTTTCTGAGATTGTCTTTTCTGATGGGGTCCCATTGTTTTTGACTCTAGTAGCACTAATTATTTCCCAGTAGTACTTTAAACTTGAGATGAAAAAAGCCCTCCTGTCAAATATGACATACAAGTGCTTTATCATTATTAAATACACATACACGCACATAATAAGAAATCCGGGTTGGAATAAAGTTAGGGGTATGTTCAAAGAGAGAGAGGGTTCTAAATGGGAGCCGACAGTCTCGGGGGGCTCCGCGAAAGTGGCAAGTGACAGCCAGGGTCTTACAGGGCAGAGGGGCGACCTGGCCTTTCCACCTGTCACCCCTCAGGCGTCAAGAGTGTTTTCTCTCCAGAATGGGCTCCGAGGGCAGAGTACAAGCATTCAAATCCCACCTCTACCACTTCCCATCCGGGTGCCCTGGGTAAGAGTCTTCACTTCTCTGAGCCCTGGTTTCCTCATCTGAAACATGGGGTGTAGTGGATATTCTGCATCCATTAGTTATTGCCACAAAATCGATGCCTGCCCTTAAAAAAAAAATAACCACTGCAAAAACTCATTGGCATGGGAGAACGATTCTTTCTCATGCATCTTTGGGGTTCCTCTGATGTCACCCAGGCTTGCTGCGCTGCATGGATCTCTCAGCCTCCTTTGGGGGGGGAGGGGCTAGCCCAGGTATGTCCCTTAACACGCCATTGGTTAAAACAAATCTCACAGTCAAGCCAGGGATGCAAAATTGTGCTTTGCCCACAGTGGGAGAACTTCATAAGGCTCTCTTGCAAATTCACGGGCAGAGCGAAGAGTGGGGAAGCGGGCCATTGACACGGTTTGGCACAGGTACTGACGTTGCAAGTCTCCTCGGGAAAGGCCCCCATTCCAGTCCCTGTGGCCTGGGGGAAGCCAATGCCCTCCCCGGCTCCAGCTCTGCCTCTCGGAGGTCCCGAGCGATTAGCAGGTGTCGTAAAGTCGTTGAGGTGAAGGGTGGGCATCTGGAAAAAGGCCTGCAACATCCACCCGCCGGCCCAGTCATTACGGTTTCCTGGCAGGAGAAACTACCTTTCTCCATTTGTCCGTCAGCTTTAGGGCCCTGCAGCTTCCTGCCTGCTGATTGGCTGAAGCAGGAGACACGTGATGCCATTCTGGCCAATAATACAAGAGGGGAGGTCGTTCGGGAAAGGTTTCCGCCCTCATAAAAAGGGACACGAGAAGCAACACCACCATTACTCTCCTCAAGCCGAGGGGAGTAATCCTTCCCGCCAGTCTTACTCCGCCCACCTGCATTACTCTCCCCCACCAATATTACCCTTTCTACCAATATTACTCTCCTCCCACCATGATGACTCCACCCACCCTCACTACTCACCCCACCAACATTGATCTGCCCCAGCATTACTCTCCTCCCACCAACATTACTTTTCCCAACCAACATTACTCTTCCACCTGCATTATTCCCACCTGCAGGGGAATAATAATACTCTCCCTCCAATAATACCCTTTCCCTCCAATACCCTTTCCATCAGTATTACTCCCCCCAACATTACTCATTCTCACCATTACTCTTTCCCACCAACATTACTCTTCTCACACCAGTATTACTCTTCCCACCAATATTACTCTTTCCATCAATATTACTCTCCCGACCATTGCTCTGCTCTTTCCACCAATATTACTCTCCTCCCACCATTACTCTAGCCACCAGCATTACTATCCCCCTGCCAACATTAATCTGCACCAGCATTACTCTCCTCCCATCAACATTACTTTCCCCCCACTATTCTTTCCCACAAACATTACTCTCTCCTACCAACATTACTCTTTCCTGCCAACATGACTCTCCCTACACCTCTGTTCTCTCCCCGCCACTAACATTACTCTGCCCAGCATTACTCCCCTACCCAGCCAACATTGCTCTTCCCCCTCTTCCTTTGACTCCATCTTCTTCCTCCACTCCAACGTCACTCACATCTCTTAGGCTCCCACCACCACCGCCGCCCTGAGTCCAGCCTCCAGCCATCACCCTAAACACCACCTTGGTCACTACCACTGCTCCTCATTCTCATCCCTGCCCCCCACCAGCATTTCTGAGCTCCCCCGTCTCGCTGCTGTCATCCCCATGCCCATCACCACTCCCCCCATCGTCATCCCTACCATCTTCACCATCAGTGAATGAACATTTATTGGGCACCGACAAACACCAGACCATTTACAGAACACACTGAAGGCACGGCCCCACCCCAACGCAAAGCCAGCATGCTGCTGCACAGGGTGCCGTGTGCAGCCCAGGGCCCAGGCTGGGGCTGGGGTTGGACGGCGGTGACCTGGAATGGGGTCCCGAGGCCTCTGCCAGATCCCTCTGAGGGCAAGGATCATACCACTTTCCTGAGAGCAGAGCAAATAAATAATGGAGAGGCAGGGCACTGAGCCCCCGTGGGCAGAGAGGCCCTTGCCTTGGCTTATGTGACTCCATGGGAGTGAGACAGGCAGTCAGGAGCCTCATGCCCCGGGTGGGGAGGCGGAGCTGGGGGCAGGAGCCTGGGGGCCAGAGGGTCCTGGGGCCTCCCCTTCATCTGTGTCCAGCCCTCGCCTCTGGAGGTCAAAGGAGCACGTGAGGGACGCCCCCGGGAGGCACCGCTGAAATGCAGGTGGGGTAGAAACAGGCGGGTGGAGGGACGGGCTTGGGCTGCAGGCCAGAGACCCTGCCCCGCCCACAGCCCCTAGAGGGGAGCGTCATCAGTCCTCCACTTGGGGGGGTAACTCTGATGGTGGCCGTCGCAGCTGGGGTTCCCCATGTTGTCCAGAGGCACCACCACTTCGTCTGGGTTCGAGGTCTTGTTCAGTTCCACCACGCGCGGCACCACCGAGGACCAGCGATCTGTCGAGAGCACGGCGGAGGGAGGAATCAGGACGGGTGGAGAATGCACACACAGGTACTGAGCACCTCCTGTGCACCGGGTTACTCCATAGCCATCTAAAGGGGGAGGATTATCATCCCCATTTTACAGAGGCAGAAACTGGGGCTCAGAGAGGTCAAGACGCCAAACCCAGGAGCACACAGGAGTGAGTAGAAGAGCCAGAATTCAAACCTGGGTCAGAATGGCTGAGGGCCCACGTCCCTGTGTCTCATGTACCCAGTGTAGGGGAAGGGAGGTGCCCCAGACATTCATGAGCAGCAAGGGCAACAACTCAGCGGCTGGCCCATTCTACAGACGTGAACAGTGAGTCTCCGAAACGGGACAGGACTGCTCAAAGCAAATCAGGGGCGAGGATGACCAGGGCTTCCCCTCTGCACCCCTGGATCTCTCCCACTTAACCCCCTGCCGCCTTGCACTCACCTCTCCGGAGGCGGCCCACGGTGTGCGAGAAGCCATAGTACTGGTAGTTCTCACTCTTGCCCGGGTCCTCGTTAATGATGCCCAAGTTCTGGTTCCAGTGAGACCAGTTCACCTCGTCCACCCTGGCGGGGCCACAGCAGGCAAAAGGGTCAGGGGGAGCCCCCCCCGACCGTACCCCTTCCCCACCCCCAGGCAGCCTCCCCGCTCCAGCCCTTCAGCACAACCTCTCCATTCCCTAAAAATTCTGGTAAAATACACGTAACATACAATTTGCCACTTTCACCATTTTTAAGGATACTATTCAGGGGATTAAACATATCCCCCTTGCCCCCCGTGTCAGGTCACCACCCCTGCTGTCTATTCCCAATATTTCCCATCACCCTCAAACAGAAATTCTGTGCCCATCGAGCTGTAGGTCTCACTACCCCACCTCCCCATAACCTGTGTTCTGCTTTCTTTCCCTGTAGATTTGCCTATTCAGGAGATTTCATATAAATGGAATCCTACACCACATGGCCCCTTGACTGTGGCTGTTTTCACACAGCATTATGTCTTCGAGGTTCATCGTGCTGGAGCCTCAGGACTTCACTGCATTTTGCAACTGAATCATCTTTTCTAGGGCTGCACCACGTTTTGCTTATCTGTTCATCTGCAGCGGACACCCTGCTTCTTGACGCTCTCTCCTCCACTTTATGGGACGCCCTGGCCAAGGCAGCAGGCAGCCCCTTGTGCCCCAACAGGCTCAATCTAATTTCCTCCTTGGAGAATTATTTTTTGTCGTTTTCATCCAACCTCCCTATTCGGAGCCATTTCTACAGGTCAGGACCCAGCAAGGAAGGTACGTTCACCGTTCCTGTTTGACAGATGAGGAAACTTGGGCTTGTTGCACGGTTCATACAAGATCACAAAGCTAAGCACTCAGAGAGTCAGGATTTGAACTTCGGGTTCCAACTGAACAGGACTGCCCAGCCGGTCTACGAGGTGGGTGCTGGTATTGTCCCCACTTCACCGACGAGGAACTGGCTTTGCCTGACTCCAGACGTGACGGTCATACTCTATGCTGGCAATTGCTTTACAAAGAATGATTCACCCTGAGAGAAAGGATTCACCCCAGGGTTCCCCTAAGAAGGGGGCATTCCCTGTGCATCTGGGTAATGGCCCAAGTCCATTGATTCCATGCGGCTGGCCCCGAGGGGTGGTGCTGTCATCCGTGGAAGAGACCCAGGCTGGGAAGGAAACTGACTTGCCCGAGATCACCCAGAAGAACTGAACTCCGGTCGGGCCCATGGGGCCTCAGTGGCTCGGGACGTTGCAATGCGTAGAAAAGGTAAGGAGGCTCGATCGGCGCAGGATGGTTCGGCCCCGCCCGCCCCTACCTCACCTGAAGCACCACCTGCGGTCTGGGGTGCCGTCCGAGCTCTTGCCCACGGTCACCATCTCACCAGAGCGGAAGGCCTTCCTCAGGAACACGGGGAAGGAGCGCTCAATGTCCAGGATGGTGGTGGCCCACTGCAGGGGGGGAGGGGTGGGCAGGCCATTGGTGAGCCTCCTCCTGCCCCCCCCCCCAGCGCCTACTGCCCTCGTGGCAGAAATGATGCGCATCCCTACTGCCCCGGAAGTAGGGTTATACATTCAGAAATCCATGGGGCCCGGCAGGAGCACAAATGGGTGAAGCAGGATCAGAGGCAGGAAGCCCCATGACACATGCACGATGTCACCACTCGGTGCTGGGAAGCACCAGGGAGGGGTAGGGAGTGGGGCACACCCGGGAGCACAAGCCCTGTGGGGAGCAGGCCCCTGCCTCCCATCCCCCCAGGCACTGCCAGAAAGGGATGTGGGCCCGCCCCGCCAGGCTTCCAGCTTTCCAGAAAGGCCAGAAGGCTGGATTTTTATGGGAAATCTCTTCGTTTTAAAATTTTGCATGAATTTTTTTTAAAAATATGGCGATGCAGAAAACATGAATCTTTGTGGGTCAAACCCAGTCCACAGGTTGCCACTTTGCCTCTTATGAGTTGTACCCCATGGAGAAACTGAGGCCTGGGGAAGGAAGCGGTCCGCATAAAGATTAAGAGCAGCCAGACGTCCCCCCCACCACCCCCGAGATCCAGAACTGGGAGGATGACCTTGGGGCTTTTTTTTTTTTTCTTCTCACTGCCCCATTTCCTTGAAATGCACCGTAAATGTGGTTGCTGCATTCCTGGGCCTTGTGCTCGCGCTGTTGGTTGTGAGCCCCCCAGTTTATGAGCTATACATGGCCTGAGAGGGCTGTGACCCCCTGGGCCATTGCTTTCTAGAACTGAATAGAACACTTGTGGGAAACAAAGGCAGCAGCTCCCCTGTGCCCACGAGGCCCACGGCCACGTTTGCTTCTCAGGGGCAGCGGAGCCTGGGCAGCCCCCAAGCTCCATCTTACAGACAGGGAGGCGGAGGCAGAATGAGAAGACAGAGCTGGCCCTGAGCGGAAGGCCAAAGCGGGGCATGCCGTGGGCCAGGTCTCCCCGTTCTGGCAGGGGCGGTGGCTGGCAGGGTTGGGGTCCCGGGGGTCCCGGGGCATCACCTGCAGCTTCCAGATGTGCTTGCTCTCCTTGGAGACCTGGCCCACCGTCTCTCCCATGAGGGCGATGAGCATGTTGAGGAGCAGCACGAAGGTGAGGATGATGTAGGTGACCAGCAGGATGATGAAGACCACCGGGTACTTGGTGCTGCTCAGCATCTCCAGGTCGCCCATGCCGATGGTCAGCTTGAAGAGGTCCAGGAGGAATGTGCTGAACGTCTCGCTGTCACGGCACGAGGGGTATGTGGGCACCGTGCAGTTGGTGTGGTCCTCACTGCACACCTTCATGTTGGTACATGGGTTCAGAAGGGACACCAGGGCTGTGGGAGGGGGTGGGGTGACATTCGCTGAGTGAAGACACATGTTGACAGGTGGAGAGCAGCGTTCCCATTCAACAGAGGGGACAGCTGAGGCTTGGTGAGGGGAGCACACCGGCCCAGGGTCACCCAGCGTATGAGCCAAGCCAAGGGTCCAAAGCCTTGGCTCTTTCCACAGACTCTTGCTAACGAAGAAGAAGGTCCCGGGATCTAGTCTAGGAGTTCTCAACCAGGGAGAGGACATCTGACAATGTTTGGCTGTCACAACCAGAGAGGCAGCGCTACTGGTACCTAGTGGGGAGAGGCCCAGGGGATGCTGCTAGACATCCCGCCATGCACAGGACGGCCCCCACAGAGCATCATCTGGCCCCAAGGGCCAAAGGGGCCAAGGCTGGGAAACCCTAATCTAGCCTATTGCTGGTAGAGGTCTTGGGAGCCTGGAAGGTCAGCATTCCCAGAGGGCAGACCCTCGGTCATGCTCCCATTTCCCGGCCCACACCAGCTCACAGAGGAAAGGTGCAAGCTGAAACCTGGTGCCAGGCCTGATTGTTCTAGAAGCCATGCCTGCTAAGGCCCTTGCCCCCACTCCAGACATCTCAAACTGATTCTGGCGCACATCCCTTCCCGCTGAGCCCAGGTGAAGCTTCTAGATTCTTCTCAACACAGTTCAGCAGCAACAACGGCCCCTACACTGTCCAGGGCAGGAAGCATGCGGAGGCTAAGCCCCTCAGTCAGCGGGGCATACAACCTCCTAGGGCCTTCATCCTGGGATTACAGTGAGCACATTTCAACCCATATGCTATCACTGTTCAGTTGTGTAGCGGCTGCCGACACATGTGTCCAAGAAAGATTCTGAGACCTTATCTGGACCTATCAGAAAAATCACTCTGCAATCCATTAGCAATGTCTGCCCTGGGCACAAAAGGCCCATGTGTCACGTTTGTGTTAGGTCAGCCTCAGAGAAGGGATCTAGTGTCCCCTATCAGGAGAAGCCCTGCCACCAAGCTGACCACTCTGTTGCTCATTTAACCCCTAAGCTCCTGCCTCAGTTTCTATAATTAGGACCGCAGTAGGGCTGGACTCTTGACCATTGCAGATTCCCTGACACTCTGTCTAGTTCTTCCCAGTCCTAACCCTGGGAGGGGGCAGCTGTGTTCTGTCCCTATCTCCCCAGCCGAGGCTACCGTTCTGCTTCCCCCCAAATAATCCATGCAGAGCCTCGGAACCATCTGGGTTAAACTGTCACCAGCATCAGATCCTGATTCAGTGCTCATCCCCAGAACAGCCTCCTCAGACGTGAATGTGGCCTGGTGAAGTCTGAGGTAGCCGCTCCCTTTTGGATGCCAGGCATTGGGTGGCAGCTCACTCACCTCTTGGGGACCTGCCCAATGGCTCTGTCAGTATCCCCATTCCTGGCCCTTCACCCATGGCCTGTGCCACTGAGGTCCCTGGGCATCATGACATTATGGAGAAGGCATACTGGAGACAGACAGAAATGGCCTGAACTGGTAGATTAAGTATTCAGATTCACCCTTTCCTGTACCCACGTCCCTTCAATGTGACTTTGCGGGTCTTTCCGTCAAGAGGTAGAATTTATTTCCCCACCCTTTGATCAAGGCCGGCCTGTCACTTGCATTGGCCAGCAGAGTGAAGCAGAAGGGATGCCGGGCAGTGACCTTGAACACTTCCACATACGTTCTCAGAACCCTCAGACCACCATGGGAACACGCCCAAGCCGGCTGGGGGATGGATGGCCATGGGGAAGAGAGCGAGGTCACCCCCCACCGAGGCCATCCTCGCTGCACCGGCCAGCCGGCCGCCGAACCACAGCCGGCCACAGACACAGGAGCTCATGGAGATGGGCCAAACCCGGCCCAGGTTAGCGCCACTGCTCAGCTGACCCAAAGATTTGTGAGCAGTAATAAACAATGGCTGTTTTAAGGCCCTAAGTTCGGGTGCCTTCTTTTGCAATAATCACTACTATGCTATTTTTACCATTTCCCAGCTTTGGAACTTGGGCAGATTATTTAACTTTTCTAAGTCTCAGTTTTCTTACCTGTAAAGGGGACAACAAAGGCACTGACCTTGCAGACCCGTCGGGGGGACTAATGAGGCAGGGATGGAACAGGACCCAGCCCAGTGCCTGGCACGCAGGGAGAACCTAGCACACGCTAGTTATTGCCCTCCCCACAGCAGGCTGCCCTTCTGGTCCTTGCACCACCCCTACCAGGTCACCTGGCTCCCCAGAGCTCACCTGAAGCGTAGCCAATCATGAAGAGCAAGTAGACCAGCAGGAAGCGGAAAAGGTCTTTGAAGAGGATCTAAAGACCCCGGTGGGAATATGGAGACAAACACGAGACACGTGGTTTCTCATTTTCCTGACTTCTCCATCCCAAGGGTTCCCACCTCCACCCTGTCCCTTCCCACCTCCACCCTTGTCCCTTCCCACCTCCACCGATGTCCAGACCCTCCCTGTGGCCCCCAGGGTGTGGCAAGTCCTCAGGGCCGAGGGCACCATCCCACGCATAAGCTGCACACATCCTGTGTGTGGCTCCCTCCATGGACACGTGGTCCAGAGGGTTCCACAGCCCATACCTTCTGGATCATGATGCTATAGGTTCCCGTCAGCTTCAGCCCACGGGTAAAGTAGAGGGCGTTCATCCAGCCCAGGACCAAGGCAAAGACCATGACAGCCAGGTAGGCTTCAATGCCCGCCAGGTAGAGGGCCGCCGAGACAATCACCAGCACGGAGTAGATGAAGCTACAGGCAGCAGAGACCACAAGAGGACCCAGAGGGGAGAGGGGACAATGAGACACCGGCGGGGGAAACATGCCCCCAAGCCCTCCAGGGGACCAGGACATCCCGATGCCTTCTGGACCCCCCAGAAGAGAAACAAAGTGGATTCACTGGGTGCCCCAGCATTCTATTAACCAGGACGTTCAATTAGCTGGCCACTAAGGTGTGTGCAGGGGCCCTGAGGCCCTAAAAGATCCCAAAGTGATGCCCTTTGGAATTGCTAGAGAAAGTGGTGTTGAGGGGAGATTTTGTGACTAAGTGGATTGCATCGTTCTCTAAGAAAAAGGGAAAAGATGTAGTACACGTGCAGCAACTCATCCCGTGCCCCAGGCAGACATCATTAATCAAGCACAGCACTCTTCACATGGCACTCCTGGCAGACATTAGCAATCAGTCACCAGCATAAGAGGTTACATTACTTCTATGTAAGGTGTATATGGCGATAACTCTGTGGCAACCAGAATCTTGCTTTAACCAGAAGACTCTATTGCTTGACATTGGTCTTGTCCTGACTCTGGGCTACAGCCATCCGGGCTGGGTGAATCCACTCCTAATAGAGTCACCTCCCCCCAACCCCTGCCCCCAAATCTGGATGACGTCCCAACCCCAATCCCACCTTCCTCACCCAGAAGCTAGCAGCCCGGGGACCTTGACTCATTTGAGGGGACCTCTACTCACTAGAGTAGCTGGAAGGAGCCATCAATGAAGAGAGAATTCACTCCTGGGCATTTCTTCATGAACAAGTCTTTGATCTGGAAGAGGGGAGGCGGCAGATGAGAGGGGTGGAGCTGTCAGGAATGCAGAGGGGAAGGGAGGGAAGGGGAGAGAGGGAGGCAGAGTGTGGTTCAGAGACAAGATGATGTGCTCTTTTTTTTTTTTTTTAAGATTTTATTTATTTACTTGAGAAAGAGAGTAAATGACGGGGTGAGGGGGGACGGGCAGAGGGAGAGGCAGACTCCAGGACCCCGGGATCATGACCTGAGCCGAAGGCAGACACTTAACCGACTGAGCCCCCCAGGCGCCCCAAGATGATGGGCTCTTTGCTGCTGCGGAAAGAGGAAAAAGCAGAGAAGGAGGGTATAGGCCTGGAGGAGGAGACAGAGGAAGGGAGTGGAAGGGGGAAATACAAGGAGGAAGGAGGACGGGCAGGGTGCGTGCGGTTGGGGGCCAGGCACTCACGTTGGTGAAGAAGAACAGGACCCCGGTGAAGAGCGTGATGATCTCGCCAGCCAGCCTCAGGTAGTCCACAGTGGTGTGATAAGGGTACGGGGGCTGGGGGGCAGACGGCACGCAGGTCCTCACCCGGCCCCTCCAACGTCTGGCCCCGGATCCAGATGATCCCCAATGCTCCCCAAACATCTGGATCCTGTGGATCCTCTTCCTTCACTCTCTTCCCCCCCCAGGTGCGGCGGCGGCGGGCGGGGGGGTACCTCCCCATCCCGTTCCTAAGCTCTCTCCAGTCCCTCCCACAGGGGACCGCCCCCCCAGAGGAGGACCCAGCTGCGCCCGGCTCCCGGCCAGCTCCCGGCCACTCACGGTGCCCTCCAGCGGCTGGTAGTAGGCGGTGAGGGTAAAGATGACCATGGCGCACAGATAGGAGACCACATTGATGTAGAAGGACACAGCGCCAAACTTGCGCCACTTGTCCCGCAGCAGCTCATTGATGGGTTCCACGGCCAGCATCTCGTGGCGGTTCTGTGGGAGACCCGAGCAGGGGCCACATGGGCTCCAGGCAGGCTGACTGCAACACGCCTGCCCCCACCCTCTGCCCCGAGAGCACCTTCTCCTCCTAACCCACTTTTCAGCGACACTCAAGGATCCATGGGGACCTGGACGGGGATTCCGGATCACCCCCACACTCCTGGGCTCAGGATTTGAGGCTCTGCCCAATTCTGCCCCGACTGACCTTTCCAGACTATTCTGGACTCAGAGAACCCAGAGCTGGAAAGCTATTTTCATGATCCCCCACACTCCAACCTACGGATGGTAGGTACCCAGCTGCTGGTGGCAAAATCACCTAGGTAGCTTGTCAAAATATATAAATCCCCAGGCTTCAACCTCAGAAGTTCTGAGTCAGGAAGCAGGATGGGGAAATTTAGCCCCAGGATGACAGACACTGCATTCACCATAATTCTCCGACTCTCCCTCGGGAGGGGGAGGGGGCTTGAGGGGGAGGGAAGCCATCAATAATTGAGCCCCGCACAATAGTTCTCTATACAGGTCCCCGGGCAGACACTGCCAATCAATCAAAGCTTGCACCAGAGATGCTAAACCCCCCACCACCCCTGACCTAAATCAAACCAATTTCAAAGATGAGGGAAGTAATCTCCAGCAAGGGAAGGCATCTGACCAAGCTCACGGAGCCAGGGAGGGAAGGGAGACCTACACCCCGACCCCAGCATTTTCTGCCCCATTTGTACAGCATCCTGTTCTGTTAATGAGTTGAGTTTCCTCATAAACATGGATTTGTGCAACAATGTAGCCACAGAGATGCCATTGCAGTGTTATTCCTGATAGTTAAAGGCAGAAACAAACCCAAATGACCAAGAAGAGAGGAATGGTTAATGAGAATGTGGTACATTTACTCGCAGCGATGATATTGCAGAAGAATATTTAAAGGTGCAGAGCCATGTTCACGAAATACTGCTACGCGAGAAAAGAAGCTTTCAAAACTGCATCTAACGACTACTAATGATAATAGCTGACATAGAATGTTTATTCGGTGCCAGACTGTTCTCAAAGGAACTCAGTTGGTCCTCCCAACAACCCTATGGGACATGAACTATCCTTACCCCCATTCTGCAAAAGAGGAAACTGGGACTCAGAGAGGTTGGGTCACTTGTCCTGAGTCACACAGCATGTAAAAGTTACAGGGCCCCTCCCAGTGCCAGGGTCCTTTCCCTGCTCTCAGCCACCCCCATCCTTCCCAGGGCTCTGTCCCCTGCCCTAGCACTCACCTCGATCTTGCTGTTATACACCAGGATTTCCAGCACAGAGGCCTCTTCCCCACACGTGTCTAGGGAGGAGAGGTCATACAGCGAGGAATACACCGGCCCATAGGCCCAGTCCTTGAACTTGCGGGACAGGTGTCTCGTATCCTCGTCTGTCACCTCCCGGCGGATGATATGCTGAAAGACCTGCACGGCAGGGGGAAAAGGGAGGGTCAGGGGGCCCTGGGGAGGGACACCAATGCTCGGGCCCTCACATCAGAGGCACCCCAGGGGCCCATCACAGCCCATCTCGGGGCACCTCCCAAGAGAGCAGCATGTAGCGGGGAGGAAATACTTAGAGAACATGCCCTGTGTGTTCACATGATCTTGTTCTTACTCTTACTGTCTTGGTTTTCAGATGTGCAAAGAGAGGCTCAGGGAAAAGAAGGGTACTCCCCAAGGCCACACAATCAGCTGAAGCCGGACTGAACCAGGCCGGCCTTAAAAATCGGAATCGGAATGAGTATCTTTTTCATGTAATTAAAACAACAGTGAATCGATCTTATTAACATGTTAAATCTAGGAATAATTGTTAGATCCAGCCCTTCCTGATGCCACTTATCTGCAGCTTACACACAGGGGATACTGAGGAACAGAGGGGGGTGGGCATTGCCCACAGCCACACAGGTTAATAGGGCAAAAAGCCAAAATCTAAACCCAGGCTTTTTCCATTACCTCAAGACTCTTTCATAAATTGCAACTTTAGTAGCTTTTGCTATGTTTTTAATAGAACAATAATAACCCCTGCCATTTGCTGAGCACGTACTACCCATCCCAGGGTCTTCGTTGAAGAGCTTTACGTGGATCACCCTATCTAGTTGTCACGTGGTACCACAGGGTGCTATTTTCATCCCCATTTTGCAGTCGAGGACACCGAGGCACAGAGGGGCGAGGGGAGATGCCTGCAGTCACACACTGGGAAGCGGCTGAGCCAGGCTTTGGACGCAGGTACTCCTGACTCCGGAGCACTGCAAGCTTGGTTCTCAATCAGGGCCATGGTGGCCCCCAGGGGATAATCTGGCAACGTCTGGAGACTTTTGGGGTTGTCACAGTGGCAGGGAGTGCCACTGGTCTCTCGGGGTTCGAGGTCAGGGATGCAGCAAGCATCCTACACTGTACCGGACAGACTGCACACCCCAGAACCAGCTAGCCTCCAATGTCGGCAGGGCCCGGGCTGAGAAATCCTCTCTAGGCCGTGTGCTGTGAGGCTAGAGACAGAGAGAACCTGTGCAGGGCTGCTCGGCAGGTTAGGGGCTAAGCTAGGACCCTGAGAGTGGATTATAGGGGAGTATACAGGAGTGGAGCCCTGGGACTTGGATTTCTATCAGTGGCTTGTCCTGGCTGGAGGGAGCAGGGCATGATCATCCAGTGGCATGGGATGAAGACAGAGCCTCTGGAATGAAGTTGAGTAGCCTGGCCGGACAATAGGGAGCCACAGAAGGTTCTTGGGGCAGGACAATGTGGTTGGCATGATAGGAGGTGGGTGTGCATATTAATAATAATGAATGCTAGCAGTCACCCTTCCAGTGTGTGTGTGTGTGTGTGTGTGTGTGTGTGTGTGTGTGTGTGTGGAGGGGCAAGAGTCGGGGGGGGCGGGCTGGCCGTGCCCCCCCCCAGCCTGCACGCACCCCAATCTTGCCCGTCTTGGCCGCCATCATGAGGGGCGAGAGCCCGTCATTGTTGAGCACGGCCTCCAGGTTGCTGTCGGGGAAGAGGCGGGCACACTTGAGCAGCAGGAGGTCGTACATCTTGGTGACGAACTTGGTGTTCTCGCGGGTGTTGTCGGCAATGGCCACCAGCGCGTGCAGCACCGTGTTGCCGCGGGAGTCCTGCCGCCGCATGTCGGCCTTCTTGTGCGGGTTCTCCGTCAGGTAGTTGACGATGTGGGGCTGGTTGGTGCAGGCTGCCAGCGACAGGGGCAGCTCGCCTGCAGGCCAGGGGGGAGGCAGGGGGAGGTCAGCGAAGGGGGGCGCCCGGGATGGGGAGGGGCTCTGCCCACGGATGCTCAGGGGACAGACCCGGGGACGCCGGACACAGTCCACACATTTCTGTGGGTGACATGCCAGAGGTGGGGTGTGGCCTTGCGATGTGGAGGCCGTGAGGGACTTTGTCCCTGAGCTTCAAATAATGTGTGCCTTTAAGCAGGGGTGAAATTCAGCGAGGACATGCTGGTGTTGGGAGGGTGGCTCTGCAATCAGACCCCTGGTCCCAGCTGCAGTGGGACTAAAGGTCGAGCATGACAAGGTGCCGGGCGCAGGTGCAGAGGCTGACCACCCATCACAGCCCCGGGGGCTCTCACAACCCCCACGGTACAGATGGGAAAGCTGAGGCTCCAGGAGGCAGGTGATGCTCTACTCCTCAGAAGCAAGACCTCGGGGACCAACACCGACATACGAGCAGAGCTCTAGGTATCTGGGGAGGGGCCGGGGCAGTGGACACCACCACGTCCCCCGAGCCCCCACCATCCTCTGCTCACCGAAGTAGAAGTAGCCTCCCTCGTCCTTGGGCTGGAAGAAGCGCCCCCGGGCCTGGGCATGGACATCAGCGCCTTGGGCCACCAGGAGCTCCACGTAGTGTTTGCAGCGCCGCTCGATGGCGATGTGCAGGGCGGTCTGACCTGGGGAGGGGGTGAGGGACTGTCACAGGGGGGCGGGGCAGAGACTGGACCAGGCTTGAGGGCAGGGGCTGGGGGGGTGCGGAGTGTGGAAGTCAGGTGGGGGCTGCAGCCCCAGGCCTTGGCCGGCTCCTCCCAAGGGCAGCAACGGACCTCCAGACGCCGCCCGGATGTGGGATCTCTGCTGCGCGAGGGCCTGACGTGCTGCCTCGTGCAGGCAGGATGCAGACTCAAGAGGAGATCCCACAGGGAACCTGTCTGACTCACAGGGGGCTTTAATCCAGGAGGAGACAAAGGCATTGTGGCCCCACAGAATTTTGGACTCAAGTATAAAATTCACAGACTTTGAATCTTCCTATCTGGGAATCGGAAAGGTCAAGTCTGAGTCACAGAATCTCAGAATTTAGACCCGGGGAGGTGGGGCTGGTGATACGCTTGCCTCTTAGCACTGTTGGCCCATACGACTATTATCATAGAGCCTTGGAGTATCCGGCACCACGGCATCTCAGGTCCCAAATGCCAAGTTCACGGATCATTAGAACCATTGGAAGGGGGAGTCATTCAACGATCAGTCCCTGGGCGTGCACCAGTACCCGGGGCGTAGGTGGAAGCTCTTGGGGTGGCGTGGGGGTCAGACGAGCAAGCACAGCGCCCCACCGCCACCCTGCGTCACCGCTGCCCCAGCGTGGGGCCCCACCTCGGTAGTAGATGTCCCGGAAGGGCGAGTTGATGAACTCCCGCATGTTGCCCGTCCGCTCAGCAATGTCCAGGAGCACAGGGATAGTGTCATTGCGGCCATTGCTCAGATTCAGCAGGGCCTTGGGCAGGCAGGTCTTCCCTGTGGACGGCTCTGGGGGGGACAAACATACAGGATGAGGGGCGTTCAATCCATGGTATGGAACCACTGGGCAGCAGGGGACAGGGCCCTGGGGCCATGTCACACCTCCCCTCTGAGCCCATTCCCTACCTGCCCCCATGGTGCTGAGGGGGTCCAACAAACCCAGGGGGGCAGTTCTTCAAAATGTGGGGAAGCTACAGCCTACAGAGATTGGGATTGACCAAAGCATAATTTGGAGGGAATTTTTAAAAATCAAATAAATGGGGGGGAAGCCTGGCTTAAACAAAGCCAACCATATTTATTTATTTATTACAGGACTTGTCAGAGCCTTTAATATGCTAATGGTGACTGGGAAGCTCTAAAAGCCAGACCCAGCAGGCAGCGTTTGCCGTCTACTTGAACAGAGGATCTCCTTCCCATGAAGCATTTACGCCAGTAAAATTACCTTAGGAGGGGTGGGAGAGGGCTTTGGGGATCCCACAGATGCCGCAGTAATGACACCAAAGGCCCGCCATGAGCCTTTTCATCTCGATGTCAAATCTCTCTAATGAAGCCAGCCTCCGTGTGGCACAAACGGGTCCTTAACGCTGCCCACTGACGCTCGCTAAGGTCCCTGTGCAATTTTTTCCCTTACGTTAATTTTTATGGTGACACGACTTGATTTATATCTTAAAAGAACAAGTCAATGAGGGGCGGCAGGGTGGCTTCAGTCGGTTGAGCGTCTGACTCTGGTTTGGGCTCAAGTCATGATCTCAGGGTCCTGAGGTTGAGCCCCGCACTCAGCAGGGAGTCTGCTTGAGACTCTCTCCCTCCCTCTGCCCCTACCCCTACCCCCTACCCCCTCTCTCAAATAATTAAATACATCTTTAAAAAAAAAAGTGTGAGTCAATGGAAAGAGAACGTCCCTGTGTATCAGGCACAGGGCAAAATTACGCTGGGGGCTCAGGAACGGCGGAAGCAGGAATGGGATCAGGAACGGGAGAGGCAGGTGGGAGACACAGGTGTGAGTGGAGACGCCTGCTCTGGAGCCAGGCACCTTGGGGTTCGAATCCTGGCTTTACTCCCGATTCCTGTGTGACCCTTCCTCTGCCTCAGTTTCCTTTCTCGCTAAATTGAGGCCACAGAGGAAATCGAAGAGCTAATAGATGTTTGTTGATGAGCCCAGCGCCAGGCAGGTAAAAGTCCTCAGTAAATACTCTGTTGCGGTTATTATTCCACGAGAGGTGCTTTAGGAATTTCTCCTTAGATGCCAGGAGTCAGTGGGGAGAACAAGAAAGACTCACAGAGACCTGAATTCCAGTCCCGGTGCCCCCAGGACTGAGGTCTCTTGGACAAGCCTGGGCCCCGACGAGCTGCTTCCTGCTGTACCCCTGGCGCCCAGCCCAGAGTCACCCAGGAGCTGGACCTTGAATTGAAGGAAAAGCGGACTCCAGTTCCTCATCTGCGTAAGTGCAGGGTGGGGGTGCCCCCAGTGCCGGCCAAGGGCCCTGGAGATTCTCTCCAGACACACCCACGCTCGGCTCTAGCCTCGAGGAGGTGTCAGTCCATTTCCTAATCCAGGCAGCTTGCAACTCTCCGTGCTCCCTCCCAAAGCCCACTCCCAGCCCGCATATGTCCCCTCCTCAGAGGATGGTGTCCCCCTCCAGCCAGAAACCTTTGTGTCACCCTTGTCCTTGGCCTCTCTTCTCCCCCACATCCCTCCCCCACCAGCATGTCCTATTCAATCCCTCCCCCACTCCCCATCTCCACTGTCACCACCCTGGCCCAAGACACCTGCCTGGTTTCCACCAGTCTCTCTGGGTTTCCTTCAATCCTCATAGCAGCTGGAGGGGTGACCGCAGAGTACGCTATTGCAGTGAGTCACAGGGCCTTTGCACATGCTGTCCCTTCACCCTCTCCCTGGTCCTTCCTCCTCTTCTTTTAACTGGTTAACTGCAACTCATTCCGATTCAGCGCAAGTGTCACCTCTTCCAGGAAGCTCTCCCAGATTTTCCTGACTAGATCAAATCCTCCAACACAGCCGCTTGTTGGCACACGTTACAGTTTATAACTGTTTTTATTTTCTGTGATTGCTTGATGAATGTTGATCTCACCCAGGAAACTGCGAGCAACTTGAGGACAGGGTTGTGTCTGCTTCATTCACTGTTGCTCACCCCATGCCCAGCACAGCACCTGATGAGCTGGTCACCACAGGTAATTCCAAACCACAGATAACCCAAAGTGGTTTGTGCGGGGTGTGGAACCAGACCTTGAATTTGGGCTTCCACACCCCCAGACCCAGGCTGTAGCGGGGTGGGAGGCTGCCAGCCTGGGTCCTGGGATGAAATGCCGAGAGCAGCATCTTCCCAGAACTGGGGAGGGACACGCAGTTCCAGGACTCGGCCACCAGGTGGCGAAGTGGCTCTGCCCACGGGAACTGCTAGGGGGGAGGCGCCCTAAATGAATGCCAAATTGGAAGGGTGTCAAACTTTGAGGGGTGGCGGTCACAGACTCCCCTGAGAATCAGATGAGCTCATGAACCTCTGGCTAGAACAACACGCAGGGGTGGATCCAGGTTTTTCAGGGGCCTCAGATTTACACGATTTCGGGGTACAGTTTATGAAATCAAATATGCAATTATGAATTCCAAATTAGTTGCAGGGCCTTAGAAGGGGCCAGAGCAAGGGAGCAGCCCTACAGCTTACTTAGCCTTATGGGCCTCTTGGTTAATCCCCCAATAATATGCACAGTTCTCTGCAGTTTCAGGGACCCCCACCCCCGGTCCGCCGCCCCTGCTCAGGCACACAGATACACTCGACTGGCCTAGGCGAAAAGCCCCTGACTCAGTCATAAACCCGGGAGAAGCTGGAGCCTTGGAAGCCCAGCCCGGAGCTGTACTGTCCCGCTGAAGACACAGGGGAGGGTTTCGCTCTACCCCACGCTTGTCCCCACCTGTGCCGACTGCACTTGAGGGTCAGGAGGGGCCATTTGGCCAACGGCTTGAATGGGGGTCACCTCCAAATGAAATGGCTCCCGTAGTCACTGAGACCCTCCGAGGGCAGGGAGGAGCCCCGGGGTGCCACAATTCTGCCGCCAACAAGCCACACCGTCCGGCTGCCCGCCGTGAAGGAATATTTTTGCTAAATCCAGGAATTCTCTTCTGACAGTCACGATACTGCACTGTATCGTGTTGGTGTTCAAAGGATCTGGTTGGTAAAGGTACACGTGAAAAATATACCACTGGCCAGGTCCCCCTGCTTTAGCACTGAATTTGGCTAAAATACCTGAAGTCTCAAAAACACCCCTCCCACCCCCGACCTCCCCGAAGCTTCGTCAGCCCCGAGCGGTAGACTGCCGCCGGCCTTCTCGAGACAGGCTCTCCTCTGTAACACGTGCTGCAGTTCTTAACATTTTGTGTTGATTTGTGGGGTCGTCTGGCCAGTTAATTATGGCTCCTAACCCTGGTGCCTGGCACATAGCAGGCGACTGACTCGGGTCAAGGGGCTCAGAGGCCAACTTTGCCAATTTGCAGGGAAGGCTTGGGGCGGTGGAGGAAGCTGCTGATGCTCCGAGGTGCAGGTTGGAGGCCAGACAAGGCTGGGGGGGTGAGCTCTCTGGGCTGGGAGAAGTCGGGGCGGTGGTGACTTGGGCTTCAGCCTAGGGAGGGGAGCCTGAGAGCTGGGTGCGGGTGGGGCAGAGCCTGGGAGCAGAAGCAGGAATCCCCTGCCAGGACTATGCTTATTATTATTATTCCTTAGTTGACAGGTGGGAAAATTGGGCCTCAGGGAGGCCATACATCCCTTAAGTGGTAGAGGTGGGCTTTGAACCCAGGTGAGTGGAATCTGCTTAGCTACAACACTGACCTTTCCATAAATAAAGGCTGAAAGAATGAATGGATGAATGAATGAATGATGGTAGCAAAAGCCCAGAGGGGTTAAGTAATATGGCAAAGGACACTCAGGACCAGACTCCCTATCCAGTGCTCTCCATGGCCAACACAGCCCACCGACTCGGGGGAAGATGCTGAGAGGAAAGGGGGCCCCCAATGCCAGGCCTCCCTCACCCGCTGGCTGGCCTGCCCACCATCCCCACCTAAGCGGCTCACCCCGGAACTCCTCGTCAGTCAGCCGCTTCTTGTGGGTCAGCAGGAAGGGAAGCAGCCCATCCAGGTCGGTAGTAGAGCCTCGGGACACGACGTCAAAGAGGACAGGCCGGTTGAAGACCTTAAGGATGGGGGGCGGCTGGGGCGCGGGAGCTTTGGGACTCTGCGGCTGCTTCCTGGAAGTGGGGGAAGGCAGGGTGACGGGAGGGCTCATCCCCCTCCCCCGCAGCCATCTCTGGCCTGAGAGGCCCCGGGGTTGTGGCGGGGAGGTGGAGGGAGCTGGAGCCCGAAGGAGGGACCAGACGGAGAGGGGAGGGATAGCTGGAGAAACAAAGGAATGTTTTATCCCAGCGCACTCTACCTAGTACCTACTGTATGTTGGATAGAAACACATGGACAAAGAGAGGCATACAAGCTTGCCTATCCATCCACCCACGCACCCATCCACCCACTCACCTGTCCGTCGACCCACCTACCCACCCATCCATCCACCTACCCAGCCACCCATCCACCACTGGCCCATCCACCCACCCACCCACCCACCTACCCACCCACCCATCCACCCATCCATCATCTACCCACCTACCCACCCACCCATCTCCCCACCTATCCACCCATCCATCCATCTGTCCATCCACCCATCCATGCCCCTACCTACCCACCCTGCCATCCACCCAGCCATCATCTACCCACCCATCCATTCATCCGTCCACCCATCCATCTGTCTGTCCATCCGTCCATCCATCCATCCACCCACTCATCCACCCACCACACATCCATCCACCCACCTACCTACCTACCCACCCATCCACCCATCCATGCCCCCACCT